GACAGTTAAATTCATTGCCCTCTACATAGCCATAGAGGGTAGTCCTGAGACAACCAGTTCATACCATCCCATTATTGTAAATTCTTTGTTAATAAGTATTATATGAAGATTTAAAATAGGCCTGGTGAGGTGCTGGACTGGCTAAAAGTTTTCCATCTCAGTCTTTAGTTTAATTTAAACTGAGGAGTGTGTTCTGTACGTGAAAACAGACCCACTAAGACAGAAAATCTTCTGCACTTGTGTGGTTTCACCCCATGTACAAAATAGAGATGAATTATCAGTGAATTTTACTTTTTATCTCTCAGATCCTTTGAGTTAATAACATGTGTGACCATCTGTGTGAAAAAATGCATTAAGTGAACTCAAATTAACTCAAGATATCACCCTGCAGACTACAGACATGGATACATAATGTCTCCCTTTAAACACACGTATAGAGAGAATCACACGCTCTTAAGTGGCTAAACTATAGCGCTTTCTGTTCTATTTAAAAAAAGAAACTGAGTCAAGACACTGCTGAGATTCTTTTCCCCAGATTTTTGTCAGCATAATCTAAAATAGAGTTTAGAAACCCCAAAAGCACTCAAGCCCTTTGGTTGTTACTGCTTCTAAAACATTAGCTCAGCATGCCCAGTTTTCCGAATTAGCATGCCAGTGAGATTAACTGGTCTTAACACTTGTTCTTTTTTGCCTGCTGATCTGCACAGGCTATTAAAGAGAAAAACTGTAGAGAACAGATCTGCATTACATGCCAGAATTTCATTAGGGCTGTAACTCGATCCATTTTATGGCATGACTCATGGATTTACCCAATTTGGCTCTGCTACCATCGGTCATAATTGGCAGTTGTGTCTACAATTGCACTGGGCGGAGTGATTTCTATATGACTGATTATTCTGGCAGAAAGAAACTTTCATGTGGGAATAGTGATGCCGGCTGCCATTCAGAAGCTGAGGGATGCTCAGATCGACTCTTTTCATGCATTCAAATTGACAGTGTGTTCAGCTAAATCTCTATAAATCCCTCCATTCTTTCAGTATACTGTGGCTATGTAACAGTTGCACAATAAAGTACATATAGGTTGATGCCTTTCAGCACTGGATTACCATGATTGATTAAGAAATAAAACAGTGATCATTTATTTAACACTTTTTCCTTCCTGAGAAAAATGCCATTTGCCAGATCGTTTCCTGGCCCTGGCATTCTGCTAAAAGAATGTGAAATGGAGCATGGAGAAAGGCCTGGCCGCTGCTAATGACTGATTTACTTTCTTTTCAACTGCATCCCCATTTCAACAGTGCACAACAATAAACAACCCATTAGGGAGACTCAAAATAGTTAGAATTTAGTCGAATAAATCAACAACTGAATCATCTAACATCCATCATTGTTTTCTATTTTTTTTTTTTTTGTTTGTAGAATGGAGGCACCGACATTAATGCCGGGTCAGCAATGCTAAGCAGACAGAGAACAAAGTAATTTCTGTCAGAACTGTGCTATCAGACATCTGTCAAAATAAAAACAGAATAAAAATACTACATATGCAAGGAACACACCATCAGCATCCTCTTGAATCTGAACATGGAACACATGGTTGATGATATGCTCAAATACTGCTGTGTATACTGAACAAAAGGCTTTAGTGCAACACTAAATGAAGAGGAGTCGGCTGAATGGCAAGAACAACATCCAGGCTATCAACACCTTCACTCTGCCGGTGGTCAGGTATCCTGCTTGGATAATACGCTTGCCAAAGAAGAAGACAGAAGCCACTGACATCAAGAAGAGGAAACTCCTTACAATGCATGAAGGTTTCAACCAAATCCAGCACCCTGAGACTGTATGCTAAGCGGAAGGAAGCCGAGGTCTAGTGAGTGTCAGTACCAAAGTCCAGGATTAGACAACGAACATCCACGAGTACATCAGGTAGATAGGGACAACTGACCATGTGTTTAGTGAATACCTAACGCAGCAGAAACCCAAGAAAGACGAGGAGCGAGAGGAGGAACCGTCATGGAAGGACAGGCCCTTGCACGGTGGTCCTGGGGTCTATCACACCAGGCAAGACCCCAGGTGCAGGCTGTGTAAAGATGCCCCTGATACAATCCAACACATAACAGCATGGTGCAAGATGCTAGCAGGCAGGGCATATATGGAACGCCATAACCAAGTGGCCAGCATAGTTTACAGGATCCTGTGAGACTTCCAGATACAGACGGACAAACTGGTGATGGCTAACCAACCGGAGATAGTAGTAGACAAGCAGAGGAAGACGGCCATAGTGATAGATGTAACGATAATGAATGACAGCAACATCAGGAAGAACAGTGGTCCTAGTGGTATTCGGAGCACTCAGTAAAGTGACCTCCAAGCTAGGCGAGTGGCTCCAGCAGATCCCAGGAACAACATCTGAGCTCATCCAAGGTCCCTCAAGCTCTCAGGCAGAGGACCCAATATATATAAGCAAGACGGTGAAGCTGCCCTTGCTCAGTATGAGAGGAGACCTTCTTTGAATTACAAAGAGTTCATTCAGTTCCAGTAATGAATGAGTCATACAGGAAGACATATTTCACTGAAAGCACGCTATGGCCACACCATTCATAAATATCATGCATTGTCAGTAAATTAGGATTCAGTTAAACCCCAATTAAGCTTCAAAGAAAAAAAAAAAGAACACGCTAGCCATCAGCTCAAAAAGGCAGTGTTTTTACCAGTAGCTGTATTTGTATATGTAAGCCAGGACAGATGTGTGCTCAGCTGTTAGGACTTTGACAGTCTGAACCACCGAGTTAGGCTTTCAGCTTAAAATCATTCAGAGTGAGGCAGATGAGATAGTGGAGTACTCAATATATATCGTAGCACTAATTCAGCATTTATAATGCCTTGGGCATTAACGCCAATATTTTAGTTCTTTAGTGTTTTGGTCTGAGTTTGTAAAGCTCACAGCTTTTACTTCAAATACCACAGACAATTGAAGAAAGACTGCACCACTAAACTGTACCTTTTGACCATTCCTTGACTTGAATGTGTGCTGAAGTCAGTCCCAGACACTGATTATGTAATCAGCAGCTGCTTTTACAAATCAGACCGTAATCACATCCAGAGTGTGAGAGAGAAGCGAAAAAAGGACTCAGACATTTCACCTTCCAATCGAAAGCACAAAGACCTTCAAATGCTGAATGTTTGAAGACTTCAAGAGTTTGAAGACTTTTGGAAGACATTACCATCACAATTATTTAGAAAGAGTTTACATATTCTTTCTGATTACTCTGGTTTTCTCCTACAGTCCAAAGGCATGCTTGTTAGTTAATTAGTGATTCTAAATTGGCCACAGGTCTGTCTCTTTGTGCCCTGCGATAGAACAGAGACCTGTCGGGAGTGCACGGCGCCTGTCACCCTGTGACAGCCAAGGGATAAATAATTAATTCATTACAATCAATGCCTTTCATGCAGTACAGTGTGCACACTAGGGTTGTCATGATACTAGAATTTCAAACTCAGTACCGATCCCCAGAAAAATACTTGCTACGCCAAACCATTTTTCACAATGGAGGAAAAAAAATTGATAAAATTAACAGGCATATTTTAAAGAATGCATATTTCCTGTGGTTCTTGGCACTATATTTCATTGCTAATTAAATGAGGTTATCAAGGAACTTTACACTGTTTCTGTGTAGATGCTGGTAGACTGCTCTCACCTTCAATCTGCATTATTAGTAAATCAGGACTTTAAGGGAAATATATCACTTTCTATAGACAAATAACTACATTATCCCGTTATGTGAATATTAATATTACAGACCAGTAGAACTGATAACATTTACTGCCGAGATCCAAGATTAATGTTGTTATGTTATTATTAGCCATAGCCGCTAGCTGCCACCTCAACAATAACAGGAGGGGAAGGATAATGTGGGTGATATTTCCATCGGCTAACTGCAATGTGTGTGTCAGACAGGTAAGCATTCAAAATAACTCAAATACTTCAACATTGTCTCAAAATTCTTGATAAAGACTGAAATGTCAGCCTTTAAGCTTCGCCAAGCTTGTTCTATTCAGGTGTTTAGCTGCTAGCGTTATGAGGGGCTCTGTGAAGATGGCACTGTTAATATTGCAAATGAGTATCTGATCCAATAGTAATATTTAGCATCAATTAGTATCCAAGGATCAGTTTTTTGACAACTCTACGCGGCACTAATGCTGCCTTCTGTACTGAAAAAAAAAATCAAGTATTGTTACCTTTCCAGAATTTTGTTACCAAAAGGTGCTATAAGACATACCTAATACATGCATTTTTAACTTCTATATGTAAGTGCTAAAAAAACACAAAGAATATTAAACTTGAACTTATGTAACAGACTGAGTCACTGTTTGCTACAGCAGCTAGACTAAGTACTATACAGTAGCTGTAGCTGTAGCTGCGTATATCAACAATTTTGCAGTTCTTTAAGTCTTTCAGACTTTCCTGGATGATATATGATAGACTCAATTAATTTGCTCAGCTTGTCTACACCTATACAAGGAATACAAAAAGTCATGCACAACACAAGCAAAAACAATGGGGAATACTCATGCATAAAAGGGTCGCAACAGGGTTAATGTGAATAAAACCTACAATACAAACAAATAATTTAAAGCCTCAGATCAAGCAGAGCAGCAGTAGAAACACAATATAGGAAACCCAAAGAGAAAGCCATCCAACGCTGTAGGGCAAGTTCTGACAGCTGAACCATCTTTCTGCCAATGCAACCCATGTTAGACCAAATGTGAGGCAGAAAAACACAGTTGTAAATATTGGTTTCAGCTATTCATAGTTTCAGTGTAGTTACCAAGTTACCAAGAAACAAAAATACTAAGTAAAAATAAAGCAGACATGCCACAAACAAGCAATCAATATCAGTTCTAAATAATGTGGCAAAGTGAAGCACTATTGGCAGGTTGATTAAAACACCACGAGACACATGACATTGTGAATGTAAGAGGAGGAATGGAAAGCTTACACTGTGTTGCATTGTCCTCCAGACAGCCCTCTGAGAGCAGCAGAGAAATGAAGAAGAAAGAGATTTAATTGGACATCAGAGAAATAGAGAGACTGAGAGAGAGAATAGGGCCAAAATAATGACTAGTTAGTGAAGCAAAAAGTTAAATGATAAATGGTGCTGCTAAAATATTCTATTCACCAGCCTATGAGATTGAGTACCTCAAACCATTTTATTCACAATACATTTTCCAGTGTGAAATCAGCTGCTATCAAGTCTGATCAATGCACAGATCACCACCTGCATACAAACAGCAGCCTAATGTGGGAACGCAGGCTGAAGTGGTCTAATGACAGTGGTTGTTTCAAGCAATGCAATGCAATCAGTTTAGCAAAGTACGCCAACTTTTTAATACTTCAGTGTTTCACATGTATTTGTACTGTAAGTATTACACATAACACACCTAATAAATTTACACAGTGAGATGCAAGTACATTGAAGAACGGGTTAGATATGTTTTCCTGAGCTACCCAGTTCCCACTTCTTGGAACAACTTTTCAAATCTTTTGCAAGCAGCAGGCTGGAGTGCATGTAAGCATACATTATTAAAGATAGTGAAACCAGTGGGTTTTCTCTAAATGCGCTTTTGCCTTTTAGATTTTTCCCACACATTTTAATGTGCATGTTATGAATCAGAAAAAAGTGGATTTGGTTCTAATTTTCAAATGAGGCCTGAGTGTAAATATACGGAGTGTTCAAGAATAACCCTTTAAAGGTTCTGGACATCTTTTATACAGTCACTGTGGTATTCCTAACAATTACAGCTATTTTTGGAGTAAAGACTACTTATGGAGACTCTCTGCTGCCTGTAATCACGTCTCTGCTCCTTCCTTTTTTCCATTTTAATCCCATGGAACAACTTGCACAGTTGAAGATTATAAAATGTACCTTTTATTTTAAAAGACAATACTGTGTTTAATAAACGGATTTACTTGTTGGAGTGAGGATTACATAAAAAAACACATCGTCTGAATGGATTGGCCAGAGGAAAAATTCACAGCATAAGGAGCTATTTTCTAGCCTGTGTGAGTGCACACTTCAGCTGATATTCTGTTAGTATTACTTCACAATTGTCTTTTAACTGAATTTACTTAAAGCAGTAACTGTCGAGAAACATAACATATTCATTAAAGATTTGGTAGAAGGCCATATCGTGTTAAACAGCAGGAATAGTAACAATTTCAGACTTTTATGAGTAAAAAACAATAAAATATATCCACTCATTAGGTACACCTTTTCAACTGCTTCTTTAACACAACTATCTAATCAGAAGGTCACAAAGCAACAATGCAATGCATTTAGGGATATACAGATGAGTCCAACTGAGCATCAGAATTGGGAAGAAATGTGTTTTGAACGTGGCATGGTTGCTGGTGCCAGACAGGCTAGTCTGAGTATTTCAGAAACTGCTCATCTCCTGGGATCCCCCCCCCCTCTCCAGAACAATCTCTATAGTTTACAGACAACAGTCAAAAACGAGAAAATATCCAGTAAGATGCAGTTCTATGCCTTGTTGATGCCAGAGGTCAGAGTAGAGTGGCTAGACTGCTTCAAGTTGATAGGAAGGCAACAGCAACTCGAATAAATACTCGTTACAACCAACGTATGGAGAAAGGTGTCTCTGAATGCACAACACATCAAACCTACAGCAGCAGAAAACCACACCTGGTGCCACAGAAGACTGGAAAAATGCCACCTGGTCTGATGAGTCTCCATTTCTGCTGAGACGTTCAGACGGCAGGGCCAGAATTTGGTGTAAACAACATGAAGGAGGATTGTTCCTTAGCATGTCTATCTCTTTATGACCACAGTGCTTTATGTTAGGCATGCCTACTCATACAAGTGTGTTTCATATCCATAAGAATAAGTCAGCTTGACATGAAACACACACAGCTTAGTTAATATCAGGTGCATCGCTTTTGCTGCTACATGACAGCAGCACATATTTTGTAGCAACAGGGGAAAAGATGAGGAGTCGTGGGCTGTGAGGCCCGGTTTAACATCGTATCAACTTATGGGCTTCTGCGCAGCTCTATAGCGAAGCTTGACGTTGACAGCCTCCTACACAATGTGCCTCAGTAGCATCAGGGGGCTCCGCAGACCTTTTTTGTAGCCTCAATTAATGTCTTAGCATTTTTTCATCATTCTGACGTTTGGTGGGTGGATGCTGAATCTTTTGTACGCTGTTGTTCACTCAACATTTTGCACATTTTGGGATAAGGCTTGGGCTTTACCCTTCTCTCATGCTCACGAGGAATATGTATTAAACAACATGTCCAGCTTGTGTTGAAAAAGCGTGTGCTGTTGTGATTTTTCTCTGTAACCATCAGCAGTGAGTGAAAGAACAGAAATATTTTAAGTCCGAGTACAGCAGCAGTGGAAGTCACACAGCACCTGGGGGCTATATGGACTATATGAACAAGCCTCTATTTTTTCTGGCCTTTTGACATGAGCCCCAGTAAGTCGACCTTAAACTCAGCATGCCACCACCGAGTCTGCCTCTGCCAATAAAATTTCAAAAACACTCCACTTCTGTACAGAGGAAATCAGTTGAGCTTTTGAAAAATGTGAGAAAGGAAGCGTGTTCTGCATCCTTTGTTGGCAGAATCCTGACTTCTTTACTGGAAATCATCATGCATTAGCACCGCATGAGTTAGGCTTTAAAGTCAAGGCTTTGTATTCGAGGTTTGCTTTAGGAATGGATCAGTTCTTCCACATTAATTATTTCATCTTTCAGTCATCTCTGGAGCTGTTTATATCACAAAGGTAATTATTATTTCATTTAATTTTTATAACTGCATTTTTCAATCCAGGTTTACAGTACTGGCGAAATTATCTAGTCTCGGTGCATACCAGTCTATCCAGGCTTGTTCCAGCTGCAGTGGTTGGCCTCTCCTCAGGGGTGTAGGGCCTGAAACGCCCACTGAACACATCTGAGATGCCCCGCACAGACCTGCCTATTCCTGATGGCTTTGGTTGGCCACACCCTTGAAAGACCTAAAAACAGAAGAGAGGTACACAAAGTTACCGCAGAGAAAAGGCAGACGCCAGGGAAAAGAGGACAAACTGCCCAGTTTTGTAATAATAATGCAATATTTCCCCATAATAATGACAGCGAACTTTGCAGTGATAAATAATTTAGTTGTCAGCATTCAGAGGATGCACAAAACTGCACTGAGCCAGGGCTGAGTCTGTTACTTTGTAGATTACACATCCATTTTGATCCCACAAAACTTGTACTTTGCTCTACCACTGATATTTCTCCCTCTGTCAATTTGCTCTCAGCACCATTTCTGCTCTGTGATTTGAGACAGCCAAACTGTAGAGAGCCGTCCTGGAACCAATACTGTCTATCAGTGATGAGTCTCTTTTTAAATGAAGTGTGATATTGTTGGGAGAAAAGGAATTAACCCTTGATATGTTGTTACTCAGTCGTCCTAGCGAGATATAAAATTAAGAAAATCTGACCAGGATTCTGTGTCGCATCCTTGTTTTGCATCCACGTTATTACAAACTACAACTGAAATGAAGCTGTCAGCGTACAGAAGAGATAAAAGTAATAGGCTAATTTTATTCTAAACTGCAAATAGGAAAACTTTTGGGAGAGAAAAATGCAGAATTGTAGCATTTTGTAATATTTAGTGTTACATGGCTGAGCGATACAGAGAAAGTAACTACCGGGGAACAATGTAAACCCGCACACACATTGGCTTTTTTAAAAGGAAAGTTCTTAAATTTAACAAACAAAAGTCCAGTTGTTTATGCTTTGAGAAGTGCAGATTTACCACTGGAATCTCGCATTAATCAGTGTGTGGCTCATAGAGGTTCATATGAACAGCAGATTGCTTTTAAGGCCCAAACAAGACACCTCCAAACAGCACAGCTCATTAGCATTCATCCCTGGCACGTTTACTGGCCCCTGGCTCAGTAGGTGATGGAGCACCCTAATGTATTAGATGGCTGTCATGACAAGAGACTGCTTTTTCTAATATTTAGCAATTCTTCACCATGATTACGCTTCCAATATCTTGTACATCGCACAAGCAAAATGTTTTTCAACAGGTTTGAGGAGCAGTAAACGAAGAACAAGACAACTCAGGGAAATGGTCAAAATGTGAAAGATTATAATCTGACACCAATCTGTCAGCCAAGCACAGCCTCAGAGAAGTGAGACGTCAAGCGCATTGACAAGGGGTTAAGTTGGACATTGACAGCTGTTTGATATGGGAGACAATGTGACGGCTAATTCACAGTGACTTTTGTAACTCTGGCATGGAGATGGGCCACACGTAACCATCAGAATAACAATGATGAAGTGAAAAAGCTGCCTTTTAACAAGAAAGGCAGTGAAAAACCATCCACTGTGTGATAATATCCTAATTGTGCCACTTCATATTTAAAATGTGCCAAAGACCAATTTACAATATGAAGTCTAAAGAGGACAAAGACAGAATTAGCAGCGAAAACGTTAATATGTCCTGTCCCAAATTTTAGATATGCGAATACAATTGTGATGTTTAGGAGACTGTGTTATGTGTAAAAGCTTGTCACAGGGTTCCAAATATATGTTGCATTTACATTGCACAGATTGACATATTTCTGCTGAATCATGCAGATTCATATGAATGACAAAATAAAAAGGGACAATGAGATGAGAAGTTGAGGACTGCTAATATAGTCCAGTTATTATGCTCATTATTTCCTGGATGAGATATTAGACAAGGCAATTTTTTATGCTACTTGTGGTTTTACACTACTTAAAAATGTACACACTGTTTATCAGGTCAGATATTGTGTGTGTGTGTGTGAACACTGTTTTCAGCACAAATTCAACAAAGTCAGCACAGCTTCTTCAGGATACAGTACCTTGGCTGACACTTGCATGCTGTTGTCCTGCATAGTCATGATAGCGTCAGAGATCTTGATGTCAATTGGTTGTATAACTGCTTCAATATTGGAGGGGCCTTGCAGCCTGTCTGCCACCAGCAGCATGGCATCTGTCAAAACACAGAGGACACATGTCAGTTTAGAAATATTTAACACAAATGGATTGGTTCTCCATTATGAGTGAGTATCAGTATGTTAACATTGCATTTGAGTATTATCAGCTTTCAGCACAAAACCCTCAAAGTATTAAGCTCTGCGACTGCGACACTGATTTAAACAACAGGGCAAACAACTGTCTCGAGATTGTCTTGACAACCAAAAATTACAAATCCGAAAAGGAACCTGCAATTTCCATTGTTTTTGTAGGTTGAAATAGTACATCAGGTAGAAAATAAGTAAAACTACTTGCAAATGAATCAGCCTTTTCATGTTCAGCGACATGCGATACAGTTCAGTAGGAAATATTAAAGTCAGACGTTTTTTTTGTAGAGGAAAGAGGGAAGCATCATCATGGCAACTATGACAACAACGTTTAAAAAGACTGGCAAAGATTTTTACCCAAACAATGATGTTTTTTGATGCCTGACCTTAACCAACTAGCTTTACTTCTCACATATGAATCAAACTTGGTGTAAAAGTCAAAAGAGTTTAATCCAGCACTGCCAAACCAACATCTAAATGTTGACTTTTAATTATAGATTTTTTTTTCCAGTTTTCAATTCAATTCAATTCAATTTTATTTATATAGCGCCAAATCACAACAACAGTCAGTTCAAGGTGGTTTATATTGTAAGGTTTAGACCTATGAGACCCTACGAGCAAGCGCTGGGCGACAGTGGAAAGGAAAAACTCCCTTTTAACAGGAAGAAGCCTCCAGCAGAACCAGGGAGGAGCAACCATCTGCCACAACTTTAATCTAGTTTTATGACTAAAAAAGGATGAAAATATACTAATGACATATACAGCAAAGTAAATAACATATAATTTAAAAAAACCAAACCAAACCCACACATATTCACAAACACTGGCAGGCTCTGTGCTTGTCTTAATTTAATTGCTGCATCTTCTTTTCTTTAAATGTGTCAGAATATTTTCAGTGAATAACATCTCTTGAGACTCCGGTGGCTACTGAATGATGCACCAGGAATGATTAATGAACTGATTACCAATCATCTCGGGACCTAAGCCAACACATTCTTCTTCAGTGGATTGTCTCTTTTTAAACAACATGACATCTTGATTCATGGATCCAAACAGTTCCACTTTAGTCTCGTCACTCTGTTAACAGAATCATTCAATCTACAGGCTGATCTGTTACTTTCGTCCACATTTAAGTCAGCTTGTGTTTTGTTTTACTCGGTAAAATTGTGCAGCAAAAGTGCCGTCATGAAGTCCCTGCTTGCAAACAAAACAAAGAGTCTTAAGGCACTTTAGCAGTGTTTTGATTCTCGCGTGTTTCGCTGTGAAGACAGATACTCTGCTACATCTGGTAGATGTTCACAGTTTTGATTTCCCATGTGAATTTTGTAGCCTGCTCTCTTTTCCAGCAACACACCTATAAATCATCGGTGTCATGGTTTGTGTTACTTAAGTGTCTGTGTTTGTATTTTATTTCAAAACCCCGATGAAACCTTCCAGCTGAAAAATATAGCTATGTAATATTTCCTTGACAAAGTCCTTGCTTGTTTAGTGTTCTTCTTATACTCTGCAGATTCTTTGTTCTTGCTTTCATTAAGTCTTTGGCAGTCATGTTTATCCAGTGAGGTTTCCTGCTGTACAGTGACTTTAGTATCATGCTGCCAAAACTGTATCTTGGAATTTGAAGTCTTTGAGCAATCTTTAAAAAAAAAATGGTTTAGTTAAATAATTTCTTATCTTAGCTTTTGAGACAGCACCTTTATCTTATCCAGGTTTGCTGCAGAGCTTGGACACCTGCATAGGTGAGAATAATGCCTGTACCACAGGTCGGTCTAGAGTTCCCAGAAGCTTAATTATCTTTTGACAGCCCTATATTACAATTTTTCCTTTTTAAAAGAAGGTGGTGACGCTCTGGAAATATAAATAACAGGGTCAAAACCATAGATCCTTCTCACAACACACCAAAAACACCCAATTTCCCATTTCAGTGTTTTACAAAGGCATAAAAATGCCCCCATCTCTCTTTCTGACATGTCATTGGTTCTCGTGCCGTGCATCTGCTGCCTGTTGTTTTGGACCCTCTACCACCTGTAGGCTCTGGGCAATATTTGCTCATCACTTCCCAATTTTATACATAGACTATTTGTGCAGAGTGATGAGCCTAGATGCCAAGCTCTAACAATATTCTGCTGCTGTAAGAAATGAATCATTAGGTTAATTTGCAAATGCTCAGTGACATAACTGAATATAGGAAGAGCACACCAGAGAGGCTGAGTCATGAAGAAGAAAAGGTAAGGGGAGAGGAGTTAACTGCGAGAAAAGGCGAGGGCAAATAGATCAACAATTTAAGAAGCTGGAGAGCGTTGCTTAAAGAGCTAAATATACCCACTGGTAGGCATGTGCGAGTGTGTGTGTGTGTTTTTATGTGCACACACACCTATATACACATACATACATACATACATAAAGCAGGGGCCGTGACCTTGGACGACTCTCGGCACGAATCGATACCTAAAACAGATTACCCACCGAACCTGACACTTTTCATTTTCATTATAAGACTGTGATATTAATATGTTCATACAGAAGAATGGTACTATTGATTGAGTCGGGCTGGGAGATGTCTGAGGTGAAAATAATGTGTTTGATAATACACTGTCCTGTCTCTCAAAAAGTAATTAAAAGTCTTGTCTGTGGGTATAGCACTGGTTAAATGGAAGGGTAGAGATATCAAGGAGACGTCTATCTCTGTGCAGTGACATTTGCAGGGATGTGAACAAATCAGGAAAAGCCTATTTAGCCCAAAGGGCAGAAGAAACACTGTTCTGGCTCCACTGAGTCTTCAGTAATGTTTGAATCAAATGTGTAAGTCATTAAATAGATGTGATTATAACCAGAGTTCTGGCACGGAGTGATAAGTAGCCTCTAGGTCTGAAGCCTGAGGGGGTGAAGCCTGCAACGACGCTGCCAAAAAGCAGAACTTCATCCTCTTGCATGGCCACTTAAATCAGGTCTAAATGACTGTATGCAATATAAAATGCTTAAACAACATCGAAAACTGCTTCTGCTGACAACAAATTATTTAGTGAATATGGCTCCACAGCTTTAGGTTAAAAAAACTGTGCTTTTTGAAAAAGCCGTGTTATCGTTTAACATCAACTAACAGATATGATGCAAACATGTTTACAGTAGCCAGCTGCAGTGTGTGGGCTCCTCTCAAAATTACACACAATGCCCAAGTTTATCATAACTGAGCAACGTATCAGTTGGTGACACAACGACAATGGAAGTCTGCAGAGACAATACTTGTCATTTGAGTATGATGTTGTTTTTTTGGGGGTTTTGTGTGGAATCTGTTAACAGTAAGGAAACTGTAATAAAGCATCACTGCATCGGTACATTGTCTGCCGCTCTCCCATCACTGCTGATGTTTTGTTGTTGCAGTGCAAGTTTGCAAATGCAGTTTCAAAACAGCTCAGTAGTTTCAAACTACTGAGCACTCCAAAGAAATCAGGGCAAGAGGCTCTTATGTCTAAATGGCAAAGCAGGTCATTTGTCAGCATGATTTTTGAGTGCGTGCTAATCGGACACCCCTGTGGTTCAGGCATGATTATGTTTAGGCAACTGAAATTACTTTCCAATGGTCAGAAAGTTGTTATTGTTGTTAAACCAAATCAATAGTCACTGATTGTTGGTAAAAGAAAGGATATAAAACCATTACCCAAGAGTCAAAACTGAGCTCTTTATCCCCCAGTGACTGCTCTAAGGAACTTTTCCTGAGATTGAACTGCATAATCTCGGTTTTAATATTATGCATTTTAGCCTTGTGTGGAAACTTCACCTTGTTCACTAAAGAAAAGCTTAGGGGTCTTGTAAAATTGACAAATAAGATCGTTGGGGTAAGTCAGCTACAGCTCTTGCAATTACAGTGCAGCACAGAGGCACTGAGGAAAGCCAATACCATTCAAGACTGTCCTGACCAGCCATTGTGGAATGTGTTTAGCTCCTGCCTTCAGGCCAGCATTTCCGAGTGGCTATCATGAGATTTAAAAAATATAAAATCCCCCTTCTCTCAGTGGCAATTGACAGGGCAGGATATTAAGCTCACCCGCTTGACTAAGAGGAGTGATTTCGGAGACAGATGAGTACAGATGAGGGAGTACTAACCTTTTTCGAGAGGGGTCTATTAAAAACAAAGATTAAATCACTAACCTGGTATTAACAATTAACAAATTAAGCTGTAACAGCTCTCAGGTCTAGTAGGGCTGTGCAGCTGCCATGCTGCAACACAGCATATTCAAAAGAAAAAGTGTAACATTAATATGTAACATCACTGTTATTATTAAATCCTTCATTTAACTGTTTCTCTGTTTGAGATCGAGAGCTCTTTTTCAGGAGAGACCTGTGTACAAAAAACATACAACCACATAATGAAATGACCTTATATGTGATCACAAATTAAGAAACATATATTCAAGAGTAGCTGCAGATAAATATATATGACCTTTTAAAATGCTCCAATGAAATCAGAGAATGTAGCTTTGTAGTTCTTTTGTAGTCTCCATTTGTAGGCAGGAAAATATAAAGTAGTATAAAGTAATTCATTTTCATTTAGCTAATGCTAAAATGTCCTGGGACCTGACATTGACAATCTATGCAGTAGGGCCTTGTAAATAAACCTCATGCAAGGTTGCCTGCTTTTATTCATTAGGGAGGACCATTCCACTTTTTCATGTAAGATACAATGGTGAGTAAGAAATTAATCACCTGTGCTAAATTGCAACGCCCGGTGATACACAGAGTCAAGCGGCTTCAAGGTGGTCGAAGCGTGCATATAAACAATATCCCTACAATCAAGCACAGACAAAACTGTGGACTACACAGTGATCTGACTATCTGCGAATGACGAAGATCTGAAGAAACAAGATCCCAATCTCTGTCTTTAACTTTGTTGACAGGTTTTCCACATGTT